AACTTTTGAACACAGACCGACGATTGAGTGTCCGTTTAATGTCACTGATATTAGACATTCCAAAAACTATTGTTCATGAGATTGTTACGAACAATTTGAACATGCGAAAGGTGTGCGCGAAGATGGTCCCGAAAGTGCTCACCGACGACCAAAAGATGAACCGCCTTGAAACGTGCCAAGAAAATTTAAACATGTGCGAAAGTGATCCCGAGTTTTTGAACAACGTCATTACAGGTGACGCATCTTGGATATTCGAGTATGACCCGGAAACAAAAAGACCATCATCGGAGTGACACACGTCGACATCCCCTCGCCCCAAGAAGGCCAGGATGAGCAAATCCAAAATCAAGACGATGCTCATCGTGTTTTTCGACATCCGAGGACTCGTTCATCACGAGTTTGTACCACGTGGTACAACTGTAAATGCAAAATTTTACGTCGAAGTGCTGAAAAGGCTGAAACGCAGGGTTCAACGCGTCCGGCTGGACATCGCTAACGACTGGAAGTTGCACCATGACAATGCGCCGGCTCACAGCTCCTTTCTCGTCACCAACTACCTGGCCAAAGCAGGGGTGCCAACGATTCCCCAGCCCCCGTACAGCCCGGACGTGGCTCCCCCCGACTTCTTTTTGTTTCCACGTCTGAAAACACCTATGAAAGGCAAGCATTTCGAGACAATAGAGGGAATTCAAGCAGCTTGCACCACGGCTTTAAAGTGCATTCCGGAGGAGGACTACCGTCACGCATTCGATAGCTGGAAAATTCGTTGGAGCCAATGTATCAACGCAGGAGGAGCCTATTTTGAAGAATTCTGATCACTTGTAACGAAAAGTTCAATAAATTATTTTTAACCGACTCACTGACATTACTTTCCGGACAAACCCTGTATATTGCCAAAAAAGATGTTTTGAAAACTTGAATATGCAAGATGCTCTCTAATCAGAGGGGTCTGTAAATTACTTGAATAACATAGCATGATTGCATGACTTTGGAGACTGTAAGGCACGAAATCTAAAATTTTGTAGCATGTAGTCTTATAGCCCGTTCTACATGAATTCTTGCTCTTTTCAGTTCGATAAACTTGATCAGGGGAAAATGTAACTAAAAATGGTAGAATATTCAAGTTTACACCAGGTGGAAGAATATCTTTTAAAAGAAATCCTTTATCTGCTAAAATTAAATCTCCAGGGTCCATCTGTGTCAAAATCTTAAAATGTTGAACAATTTTTTTATCTGATGTTGAACCTGGATAGAGATCACTTACAAATGTCACAACCTTAACACCCTCCCCAACAAAAACATTTTCAAGAAGGGAATGCAGATTTTAGCTGAAGTTACATTATGTTATGCTCAGCGTGCCCATCAGGACAAACCTGACGAAGATTTACCATCAAAAAGGTTATACACGCTTGAAGAGCTCAACGACTTTAACAATATGGCCGAGATCTTGCCTTATCCCCTGGCAATGTACTTGGAGTGTATTGGAAATACACTGGACAGGAAACAACTCATCACACCATTACTAGCGGTGATTCAAGATAATGAGAATTTGTCTGGTGCTATTACGTATGACCTCAGGCAACTACTGCCACTTGTAAAACTGTTGACAGAAGGAGTTTGCGTGAACGAAGACGTTCATAGCGTAGCTCAAGTGTTAAATGAACTCCCAGGAATAGAGTGGGAAGAGTTTGAAGGCCCAGCGATTTTATTGTGGTTAATACTACAATAATAGTTTCATATTGTAATCTTTCAGTTAGATTATAATGCCGCAACTTATGGAGACTATTGGATTGAGTTCTCGAAAACGCAAGACCTTACGCCGTGTACAGCACGCAATAGGATTAAGGCGTGAAGCAAACATCAAGTTTGATGACTCTTTACAATTGTTCCTGAAGTTAAACTACATCCATTGCTTTACAAGCCATTCCAGTAGTGCCATAGCTTATTACAACATTCGTCACTATAGCCTGAGATACTGCAAATCTTTAAGATCTGCGTGGGGAAAATTTTGCCTTAACTTTTTCAAGAGGAAGATACAAGCACAAGAATGGGGCCAGCCCCGCCCCGACTGTAGTAGACGATGAAGAAGTCGCGGAAACCGGAGAACCCTTCACCGACAGTTCTGGAACTTTTTAGAACCTAGTTTTATGGGATTAGTCACCTAACCTACGCGTATTACTAATACTTGTTCAACTTTTATTGATTGATTGAGTATTGACAAATCAAAATTTCCCCATACCGACATTATAAACCCGGACGAAAGTACCGGAAGGTCCGGCGATGCTCTAGGCGTATGCGCACGGCAACATGGCGCCCAACCCGAGAGGCTCGATAACGACCGTGAGATCCAGAGGTTTCACGCTCTCCTTGAGCAGGAAGGCCGAGGAAATTAGATGAAGAATTAATCATAGATCAGAGAATCAAACAGAATGATAAGTTAGTGATTGCGACAACCCGAGGGAATTTCTGGATAGGATTAGAGAGAGTGGACAACGAAATAGAATCCCAGTACAGCATTGGGGGAAATATGCTGCGACCAGGTTGAGGGGTGAAGCAAGTAAATGATTATTAGTGCTTATTTTCTATTAATATTATAGTATGGAATTTGCAAGACAGTTTAGATGATTTAACTGATGATGAAGACGTTTTAGAATTGGTGGAAATGGAAATTATACCTCGAAAAATTAGTTTTTCGTGAAAAAATTAATCATTTTCAAGAGTGGCACGATAAAGAATTTCGAAAACGTTTTCGTTTATCAAAAGAAACAGTAAACTTTTTATTCAAAGAATTAAATAATAATTTATCCTACCTTAAAAACAAGTACGTACATATAATTAATATCATTAGCTAACAAAATAAACGTGAATTTTTTGTTTCAGAAATTCTGCTGTAATGTTGATAAACACATTGCGATACTTAGCTAGTGGAAATATCCTACAAGTTAATAGGAGACTTTGGTGGATTTGATAAATCAATAGCAAGTCGTACTACAACGAAAGTCCTCAGAANGCACACGTCGGCATCCCCTCGCCCCAAGAAGGCCAGGATGAGCAAATCCAAAATCAAGACGATGCTCATCGTGTTTTTCGACATCCGAGGACTCGTTCATCACGAGTTTGTACCACGTGGTACAACTGTAAATGCAAAATTATACGTCGAAGTGCTGAAAAGGCTGAAACGCAGGGTTCAACGCGTCCGGCTGGACATCGCTAACGATTGGAAGTTGCACCATGACAATGCGCCGACTCACAGCTCCTTTCTCGTCACCAACTACCTGGCCAAAGCAGGGGTGCCAACGATTCCCCAGTCCCCGTACAGCCCGGACGTGGCTCACCCCGACTTCTTTTTGTTTCCACGCCTGAAAACACCTATGAAAGGCAAGCATTTCGAGACAATAGAGGAGATTCAAGCAGCTTGCACCAGGGCTTTAAAGTGCATTCCGGAGGAGGACTACCGTCACGCATTCGATAGCTGGAAAATTGGAGCCAATGTATCAACGCAGGAAGAGCCTATTTTGAAGAATTCTGATCACTTGTAACGAAAAGTTCAATAAATTATTTTTAACCGACTCACTGACATTACTTTCCGGACAAACCCTGTATATTGCCAAAAAAGATGTTTTGAAAACTTGAATATGCAAGATGCTCTCTAATCAGAGGGGTCTGTAAATTACTTGAATAACATAGCATGATTGCATGACTTTGGAGACTGTAAGGCACGAAATCTAAAATTTTGTAGCATGTAGTCTTATAGCCCGTTCTACATGAATTCTTGCTCTTTTCAGTTCGATAAACTTGATCAGGGGAAAATGTAACTAAAAATGGTAGAATATTCAAGTTTACACCAGGTGGAAGAATATCTTTTAAAAGAAATCCTTTATCTGCTAAAATTAAATCTCCAGGGTCCATCTGTGTCAAAATCTTAAAATGTTGAACAATTTTTTTATCTGATGTTGAACCTGGATAGAGATCACTTACAAATGTCACAACCTTAACACCCTCCCCAACAAAAACATTTTCAAGAAGGGAATGCAGATTTTAGCTGAAGTTACATTATGTTATGCTCAGCGTGCCCATCAGGACAAACCTGACGAAGATTTACCATCAAAAAGGTTATACACGCTTGAAGAGCTCAACGACTTTAACAATATGGCCGAGATCTTGCCTTATCCCCTGGCAATGTACTTGGAGTGTATTGGAAATACACTGGACAGGAAACAACTCATCACACCATTACTAGCGGTGATTCAAGATAATGAGAATTTGTCTGGTGCTATTACGTATGACCTCAGGCAACTACTGCCACTGTTGAGAGAAGGAGTTTGCGTGAACGAAGACGTTCATAGCGTAGCTCAAGTGTTAAATGAACTCCCAGGAATAGAGTGGGAAGAGTTTGAAGGCCCAGCGATTTTATTGTGGTTAATACTACAAATATAGTTTCATATTGTAATCTTTCAGTTAGATTATAATGCCGCAACTTATGGAGACTATTGGATTGAGTTCTCGAAAACGCAAGACCTTACGCCGTGTACAGCACGCAATAGGATTAAGGCGTGAAGCAAACATCAAGTTTGATGACTCTTTACAATTGTTCCTGAAGTTAAACTACATCCATTGCTTTACAAGCCATTCCAGTAGTGCCATAGCTTATTACAACATTCGTCACTATAGCCTGAGATACTGCAAATCTTTAAGATCTGCGTGGGGAAAATTTTGCCTTAACTTTTTCAAGAGGAAGATACAAGCACAAGAATGGGGCCAGCCCCGCCCCGACTGTAGTAGACGATGAAGAAGTCGCGGAAACCGGAGAACCCTTCACCGACAGTTCTGGAACTTTTTAGAACCTAGTTTTATGGGATTAGTCACCTAACCTACGCGTATTACTAATACTTGTTCAACTTTTATTGATTCATTGAGTATTGACAAACCAAAATTTCCCCATACCGACATTACCCGGACGAAAGTACTCGAAGGTCCGGCGATGCTCTAGTCGCATGCGCACGGCAACATGCCACCCAACTCGAGAGGCCCACGACCGTGAGATCCAGAGATCTCACGCTCTCCTTGAGCAAGAAGGGCGAGGAAATTGGAAATTGGATTAAGAATTAATCATAGATCAGAGAATCAAACAGAATGATAAGTTAGTGATTGCGACAACCCGAGGGAATTTCTGGATAAGATTAGAGAGAGTGGACAACGAAATAGAATCCCAGTACAGCATTGGGGGAAATATGCTGCGACCAGGTTGAGGGGTGAAGCAAGTAAATGATTATTAGTGCTTATTTTCTATTAA